TTTTCATGAGCACCAGCTATGTGAAGGGAAACTTAATCATCCTTGTTATTATTGAAAATAGAGTAACCTTTATGAATTTTCTATATGTAAAATGTCACAAGAAACATCAACGTTATTGTCAAGGATTTTGGCTTTGTGTACTTAAGATTCTGACTTTTTGAGCCATGGAATGCAACTTACATTGATTATTGTTGCCAAGAAGCTTTCCTTGCTATTTTAATTTTTTAATGACTTTTTAAAATATTTTTCTTCCTATTTGTATTCTGTTATTGCAGTTTAACTTTTTAATAATTTACCTTTAAAATTTCTTACATAATACATTAAATGAATCACCTTATTATACAATTCCATAACACTTCCATAACACATGATATTGCGTTACGCATCAATACCACCGAAGGCACAACATGAGTGAAATTAACGATAGCCAAGTTTTCTAACTTGAACTATTCTGTTGAAGTGAGAATAATCTTGGCTACTTTTCAGTTTTCTTTCAAATAGCACTTAATGTTAAACTATCAATTTATGGAGTAATTCTCAATAAGCTGTTAAAATATGCTGAAAATATGCTGAAAATGTATTTTCTGTGGAACATTCAGACTTTCTCTGCACAATCGTTGTGTGCAACCGGTGATCTGTTGCAGCATTTGTCTACCCGAACAGCACTGTCTCTAAGCCACATGTGCGTCACATAAAAAGCACGTGAGAATTTCTGTCCATCCATCCATTTTCTATTCATGATTATGTAACTCAGAGTCATGGGATGGGACTGGAGGTGTCCTAGCTGATGGAAACTTGTTGCTGTCCAAAGGTTTGACAGTTTCAGATGGTGTGATTCATATTAGGTGTGTTGCAAAGGTAATTTTGATTCCAATAGTTGTCATTAACTTAAGCCGATATGTGCGATTAAGATGGCTTCTAGCTAAATCTCCATTATCTTTGGATATAGACAACATTTGGAAGCTTAATAATGTGGTGGTGCTGCTGTCTAGTTATTCATCACTTCACGAAAACATTTTTGTCAAATTTGACCTGACACACACCTTAATAAATCTTAGTCTGTCAACCTTATCATATAGCTCTTCTTTCATCCATAAATTCCTGATTGTAAAACAATTTAATCTTCTAAACAAGCTATACTTGTGGTAAAGCTGATCTAACAGATGACAGCCAGTGCAGTAGTAGTATGCAACACAATGCAAAGACTGTATAGAGCATATCACACCATAGAGAGTAAGGCTGGTCAGGAACACGCTTGTTTAAGGGCTCATTACTGTACACACACATTTTTGCCCTTCCACATGAAGATTATCCAAAGAGACTAAAGGAACAAAGACCCTAACTGGTAGTTTTAAATCAGTGAACCAGCTTCTGTCATCCCAAAAGGTTTTAGTAAAAAATCCCCACAAGCCCCACTCAGTCCAGTACACATACAGACCACTGTGTGATGGGGCTAAACGCCCCGCTGTGATCCAGCTGAGCCCCCCTGATGTGATCTGACCTGCTCAGGGAAAGAGTGAGGTCTGTCTACAACAGTCAAAACTGAAGCTTGCTTCCTTTGTGTCTGTTACACAGGTATATAAAAGGAGTTGAAGGATTGTGTCTTAATTCATCCCAATATTTCGTTTTTTTTCAAAGTCTTGCACTAGTGGCTTGGATGATATTGCTAACAAATTTGAACAATATCATGTTCTACAGTATGAAGTGTAGTTCAAGATTACTACGGTATTTAGTTAATCATTCTAAGCCTATGTGTTATTTTTCATCTCTTTTAAAATATCTAAGTTAAAGAAGAGATCAGCTGTGTTTCCTACATCAGTTTCTCTCTTGGTCCTTGGGTAATAAACTATGTTGAATTGTCAGCATCAGTCTTCTGAGTTAATCCACAGAGCTGCTTCTCTTGCTGCTGGTAGTGAAATACACAATAGACCACTGTTTTTGTGGAGTCTTGCATCAGAGGAAATACTCATCTTGTGCCTCTTAAATGAAGTTTGAACCTCTCTGGAACACACCGTCTAGGGGGAACAAATTTGGAAAAAACAAAACTTCAAGGCAATTCTAGCACTTTGGCTTTTGCTGTCAGTTTGTTTAATCTTACTTTTGTTAAGGTCATTTTGGTTTATTATTCAGGTTTTAGCAAGTTCAGCAAGTTTTTTTTCCAGTCTAGAAATACATACAATGGGGAAATGTACAGTATCATTTACCAATTCCAATTTCCCAGAGGTGTAGCAAGGACAACGCTGTCTCACAAAGTTGTCAGTTGCACCGACAGCTTGATTTCTATTACTATTTTTATTCATCCTTCAAAGAAGTGAATGACAAAAGGTGAACACAAATTGTCAAAAGAATTTTTAAAGCGCAGAAAAAAAAAAACACTTAGGGTTTCTGGCCTGTTTCAAAGTGTACTTGAAGCACTCTGTTATTATAGTTTTATACGGACTGCTTCTCTCACAATGTCAGTTTTGAGTTATGCTGTGATGGAAAGATTCAACTTTGTATTCTTGGTGGGTAAGCCCCACTGGTGTTGGTGCAGTGGACTGCCAAATGACGGATGTTGATGACTGATCTTCTGATTGAGTGGTAGAAAATGAGATTTGGAAGATGCTGACAAGTCTCATGGAAAGACTTGTTAAATCTGGCTTAGGAGTGTATCCAGCTCTACGTCTTAACTTCATCTTAAATTAACTGTCAAAAACAACAAAGTTATTACCACAGTTATCTTCTTGGCTGTAATGTGACATTACACAGTTAACAGTAGATTTGTGTGTCTGTGTTTTGTTCACTTAATAGCAGAGAAGCGGCACAGTGGCCATTAAAGTTTAATGGTCTTATTTGGTCGTTGTGAATAGTATATGTGGCAGGTAATAGTTCTTCTTTGCTCACCTACTGTGACTCATTACTAGTAAATCCGCCTCCATAAGGGCACCCTGTTGTAAATGCAAGATGGATGCTAGTGGCTACTGACCTTTACTTGTTTTTTTGCATTGAGTTCTCTTTCTGAATTAAACTCCTACAGAAGATATTCTTGTGAAAGAGAGAACCTGTGCAGTCAGAGTGGGACATGTTCCTGGACTGGGTTATGGCCTTAAATCATACATTATTTCATGTAGTCCCTGTTGTGTCTGTCTGCTGTCCAATAACTGTAACTAGCAGATAGCTGATAAACAGTATAGGTATTCTTAATTTCCTTCTTCAGAGCAGTTTCAAGACTCTTGAAGCTTACGAGAGACACTGAGGGAAGAGTATATGCTTCACAGTATGCCTGATAGAGTTCTGTTAGGACATAAGTTTGATCATTCACATGGAATTAACAACATCTGTGGCGCCACAATCCGCTCCCTTTGGGAGAGGTGCAATATACTAAGTAGGTACAGTACCCTAGTACACAGTAGGGGGGGTACACAACAAATGTGTGTGAGTGTTTGTGTGTGTGTGTGTGTGTGTGTGTGTGTGTGTAGACATTTCTATGACACATAATTTCCTTACTGTCTCCCCCTGTCTTCTTTCTTCCCTACTCCTTCTGTGACTTGCAGATAAGAAAATGGCCATAGCAGCCATATTAAATGTACATGCAGGAAATGCAATTGTTTTCTGAGGCAGTGCTGGGGGATGATTAAAAACAATAAGGACCGGTAGGATTAGAAATGACGACAGGCAACAAAATAGTCGATTGTTTGTTGTTGAACTTCCAGTTTCCCTCTGGAAGCTCCTTCTGTTTCTGCAAACATACATACTGGACTCCAGAGAACTGTCCCTATGATTCTATGAGTTTGATGAATGCAATAAGATAAGTTAGTTAAGTATTCAGTCAGAACTATTTTATTTTCTAATTTTCTTACAATGACATTAGTTCACAGTAAGAAGAGTTTGAATGGGAACATCAGCGGTTATGTATTCACAGTAGTATGTTTCATGTGAAAACCAGCTTGCCTCCTCAGTCAGAGGAGCCCTGGGCTCAAAAAGATAACGGCTCTACACCTGAAAAGTAAAGAAAGCTGTTGGAATTTTCCAACACTGAACACATTGCTTTAGTATTTGCAGCTTACACAGAATCATTTTCTTTTGTTCAGTATTGTTATTCGTGACTTAGATGAGCAGGTTTGCAAATCCGAGGTACTGTTCTATACTATTCTGGCTCCTTTAAGTGTCATATCCTTTTTTCGGATGTGACACCATTTCAAGATTAGACTTCTAATAGGGTGTACATCTAGGAAAAACAGCGGCTTTAATTCAAATTAACATTTTTTTGCATATTGGGTCAACTTTAACCTCACGAATGTTGTTTAAATGTGTCATTATTGTCTCTATCATGAAACACTTCTTTTTGAGCAGGGCTGCTGTTCATTGCAGCTCATTGCTCTACATTCTTTGATTCACTAATGTTTGACTGCACTAATTACCAGTCTCAGCAAATGTGGTGTATGAAGAAGCACATGCACACCATGAAAGGTTTTATTCTGGCTCTTCTTCAGCAAGTGACAGGTTATTAAGTTCTTACAATGCTGGATACCAGAGTTCAAAGCAACACAGAAGAAATGGAAACACACACACATTAATCATAACACGGATTCATAGTGGAAAAAAGCTCTTTGCCTAGCTGGTCAATACTCGGTTCCAAGAGGCCATGCACTTTGTGGCTGCTGCATTCAATTTTTCCAAGCAAGATACTGCCACAGACAATTAATTAAAAGCCTTTGGTGATGAAAAAAAACCCTCCATATGGTGGAGATTTCTTTTCTGTAATTATTCTTTTTATTGTATAAATCTGTGAAATCCTGATATTCTAACTTGTAGAACTATAGAGAAAGAATTCTTCCTGCATTATTTTTTTTCCACAGAATCTAAAGTTTAACTTGTAGTGCACTGATTCACTCTATTGGATTCTACTCAAGTTTGTTTACTGAACTCCTATAATTGATCCCCCAGCTCTGCTCCCTCTTACTGAACATGTTTATTGTTCCCAAACAAATTATTGTTTCTCCGGAGTCTACAAAATGAAATGTGCTCGTAAATCTGTGGGACTTTAAAACTTTTTTCTCTGCTCTCTTGCCAGGGTCATCTCAGATAGTCACGAACTATCTGCTCCCCCAGGCAATACTTAAAGCTTCAATACTTAAAGCTTTGACTGTTGCTTTGAGGGTATAGTTCAAACTTGGGCTTCGACATTCAGTCAATCAGCAGCAGAGGCAACAGCTATACACACATGAGAGCCAAGGCACAGAGAAAACTATGAAAAAGATATATATTGGCAAAACAGCCCCCAAAACTCAGAGAAATGGTTGCAAACATCCGAAAAGAAGGTAAGATGAGCTGGCCGCAATCATCATCCTCTTTAGTGGTGAAACCATTTTCTGTTTTCATTTGAACTCATGAAAAATGGATTCTCACACGGAGGCCATGAACATTAAAAGGCTATTAAAGCCTGATGTTACGTCCATGTATTCCCATAATTCATTTTCACCTCTTCATATGTCAGCTGCTAACTGCATTCAAGTGAAAATGGTTTGAAGTCTGACAAACAGTATTCGTACAAATGTGGATGCAATGAAAAATGTACACTCCAACAGACAAACAAGCGGTTGTTTGATTAACTCAAATAAACTCGTGTTGTTTAGTATTAACAGTCCCAAGCAATTTTCCCATGTCCTCATGTATTTGATGGTGGAGGTAAAAGGATTTGTTTTGTTGCAGTGTACCAGTGGAAGATAATCTGCCAGCCACTGCAAGCTGGATAAAAAAGCAATGATTCTTTTTTTTTTCAATCTACCTATCTTTTTAATCTAACAGGGCTTTTTACTCTTTTTTAAACAATGGCATATAAAAACCAGTGTGCTTATTTGTTAGATGGAGGTCGCAATTATACCTGGCCTTTTACAACAGCGATGGAAAAGAATATGATGAGAGACTATCCTTTATGTGTCGGCTTCAATCTGGGATGCTGAGTAAAGTAATAATTCATGGCTGTGTTTAGAGAACATAACCACATGTGTGGTGTGCACACATTGTAATCTTTGTATTAAAATGTCTGCACAGTATGAATGACTAAAAGGTCTCAGTACAGTCATTTATTTCTTATTTCTTATTTATTTAATGTAGCTACCAGTGTGTATCAGAGCTATTTTGTTAACACAGGCGTCACAACAGAACAAGATGATAATCACACAGTTATCAGTAATGGTGGCCTTGAGTGTCAACAATAGAGCCTGATAGGTCGTGTTGTAATGTTTTGCATGGATCTGAGGACATTCCCATTTTTCAGCCAGTGTTGTCTAGATCTAATGTTGTGTTTTACAGAGTTTTGCTGCAGATAGAATCAGCAACGGAGTGCTGAATTTTCAAGTCCAGTTGCTGAAATGTGGTTCTCTGAAAGGGAAGAATGGCATGCTAGTGTGTGTAGGCCTCTGCAAAGTGTTCACAAGATAATACTCCAGAAGTATTGTTGATGGAAGATATATATATATTTTTTTTTTATTGGTTCTTTATTAGTTGAATGTTTTTGGAGTTCAAATCATTTGAATGAATTGGATTTAGACTGTATTAAAATGTATTGTATTCTAGTTGGCTTATGGTGGTATCTGCTTGATGTAGCACATTACAAATACAATTTGATTTAACTGAATTGAAAAGGATTTACTCGGGCCAAATTAGTGTTAACTGATTTTTAGATTAAGAGTGGCCTAACCATCAGGTTACCCTAACCTTAATCTAATCAGGTCAACCTTTTCTTACTTTGCAAAGGTTATTGAGACAGGTTTAAGGATAACCATCTGAGGGGCTGAAGTTGTAAGTGAAACAAGTCCTGAAAAAAAGGTTAACATTACATGTTATTCTCATTAATCCGCATTTATCCCACTGCTAGCACACATAAATAATTTATATCGACGGGCAAGGTTTCACATTTATGGGCCTAATATATAAAGCCCATAAATAAAGTCCTGCCTAATGACAGGCGTATATGGCCCAACTCTTCGTGTACCAAAACGTTGCCTATTTATAAATCCCAGCCCACAGGTCTTTCTGTGGTTGCTGCTTCCTCATTCCTGAGAGCCAGATTTGCAATCAGGGCTTTGGCCTGAGGTGCAGAAGGTGCATTCAGTGGTCATGCTGAGCCATCAAATCTCTCAGCGAGCCAAGAATCTATCAGGTGGTTAAAAAATAAATCAAAATCCCCGAGAGCACTCACTGCCTCTGCTTCCACTCTCCAGCCCATTATTATCACATCCCTTAGTCATCCTGATCAGTGTTTTCATCCTCCAGCACGAACCTGGAGCAAATGTGCTTCTAAAATATTGCATCCTGCCTGATATGCTGTTGTTGATAGGATTGGTGTTTAAGTGGTCCTATATTCTCACTCTTTCTTAAGCTTTTTATCAGCCCCCTCTTCTCTCAAAGATGACTGGCCAAGCTTCATTCTGATTCTGTACCTCTTCTCCTGTGAATAAACCGTGGACCATGTTTCGGTGCAAAATGCATTCCTAATGTTTCAGGATTTTGATTGGGGTATCATCAAATTAAATTCATCATTACTCCAATGGGAGATACTTCCCCAGCTCTGCTATTTCCCCCTTGAATGGGAAATGACTTTTCCACCTCCATCCATTTCCTCCTCCCCAGCGGCCTCCCTGCTTCATCCTGGCCTTGTCCCTGTCCAAATGGAATTTTCCATCTGAACTTGATCCCTTCCTTTTATTCTGTCTAAAACACATGCACATGTTACTTTTCGCTCTGCCTTTGCTGTTTAACTTTGTCTTTGTTCTCTGCTTGCCTCTTTATCTGACATTCTGTTGTCTAAACTCTCACTACCATCTGTTAAGCTCTTTCCACGACCACAAGGATGACCTCCGCAAGCGCCTGTCGTACACCACGCACAAACTAGAGATGGTCGAAACGGAGTTTGAATCCACTCGGCAGTACCTTGAGACAGAGCTGCGTCGGGCTCAGGAAGAGCTGGAAAAGTTCACTGAGAAGCTACGAAGGTGTGTGTCCTCGTCTGTGGCGCGTTCTTTTCTATGCATGTCGGACTTGTTCATAAATAACCATGTATGATCAGCAGTCAATATCAAATGTAGTTAAGGCATGTGATGACGAGGGATGGTGACATCTAAAATGTGTGCTTCATTCACATGACCACCAAAACAAATCATGCCGTTGTTCAAATGGTGCAAATGTGTCCAAGTCTTTGTGTGTTGTCAAAACCAATCGCTGGACTTCACAGCTCATTGGCTTTCTATCGGTGTGGTTTGTATGTGTGGTATTTCTATGCACTGGATTTGTATTTAAGAGGTAACAGATATTTCAGGCTGTTATATCAGTTATGGATGAACAGGTCAAGATGTACAACACGAGCAGCTTTTACATTTTAGCAGTGAACACACGTCATAGCCCGCTGTTGTCCAGTATTGATTCTCAACAGCAAGGCTCCAGTTGCTCCAATTTTTCAGTTTCATCTCAGGCTGCCAGCAATAGTACACTGAAATAATATTTGAAGTTTTATTAAAAGGTGAACAGTAGTTAACCGGTGTGATGGAGTAATAATATATAACTGTCATCCAGGTGAAACAAGCTTAACCAAAGCAATTTTGTTTTACTTTATAGTTTTCAGCGGGTTTTCACCTTCACTACCTCATGATTATTAGATTCAAGTCTCTAGACAACATGGTTACATTTAGGCACTGAAAACTAAAGGCATACATTCTACCTAGCCTTGGAGTAGATAGAAAAGGAACAAGAATATCAAAAATGTATCCCACGTTATACATTGCATCAGGTTAAAAGTCATTCCCATATGCTATGACATTGCTTTTAAAGTCATGCTGGATGTCACATTCTGTTTTTTCATTCTGACCTGTTTTGTGTTTTGTCCTTTTGCTTTAGTAGCACACTATTTCTGTCCATTTTGCGCTATGTGATGTAACTGTTATGGTAGGGTAAAAGTACAGGGTAAATGTATTTTTCATGAGACATCCTTACACACACAGAATGATAATAAAAGGTTGTTTATTCCAAAAGTTGTGTTAGGTGCTAAGAGAGTGTGTGTGTAACACATTGTACTACAAAGTACAGTTGTGTTAAGCCCATGATGATCTGGTGCAGGATGGATCACTTGCTTTCACCATAAACTAGTTTACTCTTTTAGTAAAAAAAGAAAACAAAAATTTTAGAAACCCGTGGCTCTGGTGTAAGTACATTTGTGATCTTTATGATTATGTTTTTTTTACCCACATAAAAATGCTATCAGAGAACAGTGATTACCAGCTGTCAATCAACCCAGTTGGTAAAACAGAAAGGTTCTCCATGCCCAGAAAGATTCAGAAAATGAACATGTTATTTAAATCAACTATCTTTTTTTTTGGCCACTGGCCTGTAAGCTGGCAAAAAGGCTGCCGAGACGGGGCTTGGGGATATTTTTTCAGTTTGATTGAATACATCCTGTCAAACCCTGCATAAATTGTTACGATTGGCAGTGCCAAATCTGTGCCATTTATCTAAGAACGAGCTGGCAAACATAAATAAATCAGTATGATCACATTTCTTTGAAATGACAAACACTAACTAAGTAAAGAGTGTTGTTCCTCATGATGGCAGGTTTGGTTATTTATTCTGTGTCCTACTCATTCCTGAATATGCTCCATCTTTAGCTTCACACATCTCTCTCAGATTTTTGTTTAATGATTTGTTTTTCATATGTTCTTGGCTTCCAACACTGTCCATATCTGTCAGCTGAGTGGAGCCATAGTGGCTACTTTATGAGCGCTCTTAGGCCTTTGACATAATGTAATCCTGAGCTGATAGGTGGGACCATTAAACGGGAATAGAGATTTTAGATGATATGTGATGATAACCTTTCAAGCAGTGGAAGTTTACAAGGAAGCTTTCAAGGAAACCTGACAGTTGAAGAAGAAGAGAGCAAGAGAAAGCTCTTACATTGAATAGAGTGAAAAACATTGGAAATATATTTTATAACCATAATAATACTACCATGTTTACTTATTTATTATCATAAAATTTGTAATATAGGCAGATGTGAAGTCATAATGACGGTCAGACCTGAGTCAGCAATTTCCATTTTTAATCCCACCACATTTTCCCCTCTCTTTTAGGATCCAAAGTAGCTATGCTGCTCTTCAGAGAATCAACCAGGATTTGGAGGATAAAATGTGCAGGACGGTAGGTGTCTGTTTAAAATGATACTGTCTTCACAGAATACAAAGATAAACAGTTTAAGCTCCGAATGGAGCTCCATTCAAGATGTTGGATCATACATCACAATCATTCAGTCAAAAAAACATTTCATCTTCTATAAAATCATCACCCTAAAGGTGTCATAGGTTTGTGAATGATTTGTATAGTTTCATATAAAACGCATTCCTGACTCATCTTTCTGCTGACTTTTTTACTGACCAAACATCAAACTTATTTTATGTGACAACAACTTGTAGGCATCTTGGTTACCACAAACATTTTTAAACACTTATTGGTTTAGTCATACATGTAGTCATATTAACGAAAAATATAATGACGAATAATGTTTTTACCAAAATGTGCATGCACAGATAAGTGAACAAAATTGAATAAAGATGGGAAATAGTGGCTTCTAACCTCCTTTTACCTATTCTGAGGTATAGATATATCTATAGAAATATTTTTTTAAGTCAAATCGAGCACAGGCATTAACAAAACCATGTTCTTTTCTGAGCAGACATAGTGAAAGATTCAATTTATGGTCTATCATTATGGTGTCATGAGATATTGTGTGCTTGATGGCAGTGATATCCAATCATCTTGGAATTAAATTATACTGTCATTAGTGTTTCCATGGGAATGTTAGAATCACACCAATTTAAAACCCTAATCCTATATTTACTGTATTGCAGCTCTCGGGTTCACTTAGCACCAGAACACATATTTTACAGCAAATACTTGTACAAAAATTGCATCACATATATCGTGGAGTCCACTTTCTTTTTCTCCTACATTTACATTTATGCATTTAGCAGATGTTTTTATTTAAAGCAACCTACAAAAAGAGGGTTTAGCATTCAACTACAACACCAGGTACACACTTACCTTACCCTGAGAGCAGAATGCTAGAAGAGGATTTATCATTAAGAATTTAAAATTCAACTGTGTCATATATTACACAAGTAACATACATTGAGTGCTATATGCTGTTAGGAAATAAATGCATTTAGAGCTTTCAGTACAAGAGATACTCTCAGAACAGTTGTGTCTTCAAGGATTTCTTGAAGGAGGAAAGAAAATCTGATGCTCTTACAGTGCTTATAAGGTTGTTCCACCACCGTGGAACTCCAAATGAGCGGAGTCTAGTTTGACCCGTACGAGGCTGTGTTAGCTGGTGCTCCTTGGAGGAGCGGAGTGGGCGAGCGGTGACATAGGGATTTAAGAGGGTGTTGAGGTAGACGGCCGCAGTTCCATCAAACCATCTGTAGGCCAGCATCCGGGATTTGAATGTGATCTCCTCTTTAATTTTTCCATCAAATGAAAAAAGAACACAATTACTCCAGCAGGCTTTATATGTTAAATTAATCTATTTGTAGAGCACAATAACTTGTGATAAACTACCTGTGAGAGAATATGAAGCATTTAAGATATTTTTTTCTCTAGCAACAGCACACTGGTTTTAATACTCATGTCATATTTAATAATTTAATGTTACAATGGATTAATCTACTACTTCGAGTGCAGGGTATTAACACGCAGCTGGGATTTTTCTGATATCACTGCAGTATCTAAAGTGAAGAATGCTTAGATTCTATCGACCAAACTTTCTAACCTTCAGTACAGTGTGTTTTCTGCCCCCTAAGTGAAGAATCCTTTTGATATCTGCAGGCTGCAGACTTTCATAACAGAGGTAGGAGGATCAGTTGTAAACCCCATATGCGTGCATACACACATATATTTAAATTGAACCAAGCTCTTGACCTGGACATTGACCTTTAGTAATTTAGTTTAGAATATAAATCCAACTGTAGCTGGCAAACTATTTCTCACATTTTGCTTTTGAAGGATGGCCTTCTCTCCGTTTCAGACTGCAGCACTTGTTTGAAAGCAGGGTGCTGTCAGTATGAAATATTAGCGTGTTACATGAAAACCATGACAACCTACATCAGGAGAAGAAGTAAGATTAAATAAATAAAATGACTGAATTGGAATTAAAAGGATTACAGTAAATGCAAAGTTGAGTGTTAACCATTCTCTGTTTCAGGCTGCTTGTTCTGGGTGTCTTCGTAATCTCAAATATTGATCAAATCAATTCAATATTTCTGTTTTTAACAATTGTACTTTTGTTGGTAAAAAAGGGAGACTGAGGGCTGCATGGGTGATGCCTGTGGTGTCAAATGCTGGTGTCTGACATTTTCTATGACTGTTCCTCATCTTTAATTCAACAGAATGTCAGGGAGGCGCTCCAACTGCCAGTCATCTAAAAATGTGTACAAAAATGTAATTTCACACCAGAATGCAATTCCTGTTATGCTGCTATTCTATTTTAGAAAATACATACACCTACATAGACTGTAGAAGGACAAATTACACATAAGTGTCATCTCAATGTCATGTGCACAGACATGACTTATTCCAAAATTGACGACTCTAGAGGCAGAATGAAAATAAAATGTTTAACATGCCTGTTTCAGATCCTCTTACACTGATTGTATCAAATGGCACAATGATAAATTTATACCAGATTAAATAGATAATTTATGAGCAACGACAACATTCACGCTCTCTGTTCCCTCTCTCATCCAAGAAATGAGAAACCTTCTGTAATCGATTTGAACTCACCTGTTCTGCAGCAGAACCACTCTCATCTCTCTCAAAGCAATTACACAATCAAAGACAGAGTGGGCAATCAATGTCTAAAGTAATTGGTCTTCGCTGCCACGCAACCCTTTAGGAAAACTCCCAGCTAACTGCTGTTCTGGTCATCTCAGCAGGGCCTGTCCACTCGCATCAGCTTGAAAAGATTCCTGAGCATTTTCCTCTCAGTTTTAAGATGAATTCATGCAGTGGTCGAACAGACTCCACTGCCAGACCCATCATTGTAACTCCTTAATTGATCTGGAATGCATTTTCTAAGTTTCATACATGGTATTGTTAGAAACAATTGTTACTTCTTAGAGTCAGGTGATTTTTACATGTACATTACTGTAAAGTTAATCTGTTGTCAAGAGGGGTGATCTGATCTCCCAAAAACATCATGTAATAGTTTGTCGCAACACCCAACCATCAGTTTTTTAAAAACGTATTCAGAATATTTTTTAATTTTTCCTAAATTACCTGGAGAGAACAAAAAGCTTACAAAAGCAACCAAAGGGAAAGTTGATTGCATTGCTGGTTTGCAGCAGTTTGTTTGTACCCATCCATTTCATTTCTTGACAGATGAGCTAAAAACTATCAAACCGATGCTGGTCCCAGAATGATGTTCATGAAATAAATCACTATGTCATGAAATATTTTTTATAATGTTCAAACTCCAACAAAATGTCTTCTGTTGAAACCATCTGCCAGTTGGAGTCTTTATGTACAGAAATGATCATTTAAGTCATCTGTTCTAATAATATAAGAGGCAGAGCTGTAATGATTGGTTATTGCATCTCGTTATTTGTGCCACAATTTTTTGCGGGCTACTGCAATATTAAAATTGTAATAATTCAGCATAGACTGGAAGCACACTGCCCATATGGTCACGAGACAGCTCTGTAAAACTTTATTTGTCTCCCAGGACTTGCAGCCGGGTATTTGTTATATATCCATGAAAGGCTTATTGCTGTATCACATGATAGATGAAAGGCTTCAGTCTGCCCCCATCATGGACCATTCTTCATCATTACAGCACACATACATCACCTGTATACTCAAGTCATGTGAAAATGATTTTGAAAACTCTTGACTTTTCAAAGAGTGTGTGTTGAACAGAGAGCCTTGGTGTAGAAAATTGGTCGTCATAGCAGGAGACAGTATGGGAATTTTATTATTTTTTCTAGGGGCCTCACTGGGATTGCCGTTTCTTTTGATGTCATATCATTCAATGACATTTCAAGGGGGGAGCATGTCGCTTTGTAGAAGACAGCGCAGGCAGTGACAAAGGCAACTGCAATCAAATCAGACAGATAATTAAAAGTTCTAAGAGGCCCGATCTAGGAAGGTCAGCTGAAAAAATGGCCCAGACTAAAACTAATTCATGTAGCGCAAAAGCAAGAGATTAATACCTTCCAGAACTGACAACCTGCCTGTTTCAATGAGCGGGAGTAGATACAAACTCAAGATGGATTGAGAAAGAGGGTGAAGTTTTGATCTCCATGTAGGCAATGCTGCTGGGGAAGCCGGCTGCGCAAATAAAACGTTGCATTATCTATCATAACTACAAAGAGTCATGTTGCTGTAGAGGAGCCTTGACAGCACAGGGCTCGGTGGATAGGTGAAGTAAGAGTTCAACGTAATCTCGGAGCCCTTTCTGAGAGACCGCTGATGGAAGCAGAACATGTATAGAAAATATTCAGCAAGGTATAGGTTTTGTAAGATTTTTTTTTACTGTTTTTGCCTAAGAGAAGTGCATGAAGATATTAGAATTTATTCCAGAATGTATCCAGAATACAAAAACAATTTTTAAACAAATCTTTTTTTTTTTGTACCTGCATAGTATTATGCAGCAAAGCATAGCTCTACCATGTCATGCCTTGAATACCATCTTGTTAGGAGATCCTGTGGTTTATTTCTTAATGTTTATGAGCTGTCCATGGTGCTGAAAAGCTATGTCTCTGAGAAAAGCCTTTTGCAAGATCAGCGACATAACTAACAGTTGCCCAGGAGCTGCTGGAATAAAATGGTCAAGGTCAATCAAGCTTAAATCAAGCTTACTCAATTACTGCTCGTTTAATGTGGATAATGTCCACTTCATCAAAAGGGGGCCATCACTAAACAGCTCTGCTGTGAATTACTTATAAAAATTAACATATTATTTGCCTCACTTTCTGCTAGATTTATTCAATAATAGGAACATTAAACCATTTAATGCTGCACTAAAGGAAACGGGAGGAACTGACAGGCTACCCAGCATTAGCTGAGCATATTACTCAGCCCCACCATTATGGGAAATTTACTAACATGGGTGAAAACATTTTAATTCAGAAAAAGTGAATGGAGATCATTAACAATAAACTACATTTTACTACCAATGGCCATATATATATATATATATATATATACAGTGAGGTAGAAAGAAAGAAAGTTAACTGCAAAAAATAAAATAGAGATGTGCCTCCTAATTTGATCTATGTCATACAAAAACTGAACTGGCTTAGTGCTGCTACTTTTACTAGCACATTTGGTTCAGTTTATTCAGATCCCCTTTGGATTCCGTTGTTCTAAGTTGAACTGGAGATAGTAGCTTTTAGAGTGTCAGGGGTTTCTCTCCCACCATTACTGTGTCTCTGGACTCACCTTGCTGTTCTCCTTGTTTCATATAATTGCCATTCACAGTTCAGAGTATCGGTATGCTCTTGGCCAGCCGTCCAGCCATCCTTTGTCTGTACCCCTTAGTCCCGGTAGGGTCATGGGGGTGTTGGAGCCTGTCCCAGCTGTCATTAGACAAGAAGTGGGTCGCACCCTGGACAGGTCACCAGTCCATCAAAGGGGCATATTGCAGCAAACAACCACACACACTCACATGGATTACTTGGGGCAGTTTAGAGTCACCGATTCACCTAACATGCATGTTTGTGGATGGTATGGTTATTGTTATCTTAATTTGAGCTTCATGTTTAACAAGGGTCAAAATCTGCCGTTTCTTTTCATCCCCTCAAAAAGAAAATGTTTTGAAGATGAAGTAAAGAGCTCTGCTCTCCTATATGGATCACAGCCCTCAGTAATTGCATCTCATGAGGTTGAGGCTAAATCTGTTGCACAGTGAAGAAGCAGAATCTCCCATAGCCTTCCATAGGCTAAACAATCAAATGGGTCTTGCAAAATGGGAATTTCAACCATTCTTTTTTTTTCTTTTACCACGTGCACTCAGATCCTGAGAGGGTAAAGATCTGAAAGTGTGGTCAATTGGGGTGACCATCAAGATGCTGAGTAATTAGAGGAAACCCAAATAAATATACAATAAAGTCAAAAAGTGACTCTTGTGGTTTTCCGAACGTCTATGTGGTGAGAAACAATATTCTTACTCTTCCACTTGCTATATTGCTTTAAGGTAGTCAAAATTTGCATATTCATTTTCCTAGATACTGTTCTCTTTTATGTATGGCACCAGCTGATAAGAAAATCTTGGTAAAATCATGTGTATCCAGCCCAGCGTGACTGGAGGAGATAGAAAAAAATCAGCGTGCATAGCTACCCAAACTGAGAAAGTACACTTCTCTCCTCCCTCAAAAATAAGGCACAAGATCCTGTTCATAATTTTAATCCTATTAAGATTGTCCCCAGTTTGTTTTTAGACTCGGTGATCTGTGGTCGTGTAGAAATGAACAAGTTTGAAGATGTGTATGACTAATGAATCAATGTGAGGAGCCGTGATTGAGGTGGACATTATTTTCCAATTTTCTCAAAGCTGGTTCACTCTTAAGTGCGGCAGTTAGGGTCAGCCTCGTTGCCATTGCACCACTTCAAGTCTGAGACACATTTATTGCAAGTCACAGGAGGGAATAAAAAAGAGGGAATAAAAAACTCTTATTGGTTTGTGGAGGTTTCAAAGCTTTGAAGCCTTCAGTTCAGAGTTTAGTTTAAAACTTAAAGTCTTACTACAGTTTTTATGGAATTTACGTTTTTAGATTTGTATCAACATTCTCACATCTTATCACATCTTTCGCAGCAAAAAAATAGAAATCACAGTTCCTAATTTGTAAAGTCCAGACGATAGAAATGAAAGGAATTTTTAAAAAGTAAAGAAAAAAACGATTATATGTTGAGGCAGTTGTCAACGCTGCTCTCTTCAATATGAGCAGTGGAGCTAATGACTGTGTGTACTGTGATTAAGTGATTGCAGGAGTGTGGGACTACACTGCCTGCTCGGTTTTATGGAGCATTTTATCGTAGTGTAGCTCAACCTTTTACTATTTCAGCCGGCAGCTTTAATGTTTTGATCCATTTGGTTCACTGTTTGTTCTCTACTCTTGAAAAGTTTCACATGGAGCTGGTGCCAATTTTCAAAGAAAAAGCCCCCCCGATGAACCCTTTAGCAACCAATAGCACGCAGCACGAGGGTGCAGTTAGCTATGAGGTGGAAAATGCACTGCCACATTTAGCAGCTAAGCAGATATTTCCCTCAGGAGTTGGTGAAGACTAAACCAATGCAGAAGCATTGTAAACGTTGAACTTTCCAAGGCTGGGCACAAACACCACTCAGACTGAATACTGATGTTGTCCTATGAAAACTGAATGAGCAATTAAGTAACTAAAGTTAACAACGGTTTCCAGCTTGATCTGCTAAAAACTGAAGCCACAGATATTGCTGATCAAGTCAAGATATTTGCAAGTAGAAGAAAGAATGCCAGGGCAGCTCGTCTTGACAGCTGATTAATGAGAGCGTAACAGGCTTGAATTTGAATATCAGTGCTAGACTATTGCTTAAAGTGACATTAATTGCCACGTGTTAAATTGGCTTTTCATCTTTGTATTTCAAAACAATCACCTCCACCGAGGGATTAGTGGAGAGAGAGGAGTAAGAGTATCATTTGTCAGCAGGTGCTCTGTGACAGGTTTTAAAACGAACACTGCGAACACGCGTGTGTGTGTGTGTGTGTGTGTGTGTGTGTGTGTGTGTGTGTGTGTG